CTGTGATGGAGGCTGCTATCAGAATGCACAGTGATAATATAACGGAACAGTAGAGAGACTAGCTGTAGTGGGATAACTAAGAAAGGTGCATACTTCTTCTCATGCTCTCTCTTCGTTAGCGAATCGGTAACGAGAGGTGTATAAGGAAAACATCATCAAAGCAATCTGATCCCTCCATGGATCACGACACCCATCTGTCATTCCATCCATGTCAAAACTCCTCTGCCCACATCCGTGATAACAAGGGAGAGACATATCTCTAGAATCCGCTTCCAACCTTCAAACAAATCTATCATGCTTCCGAGCAGTGAAGCTTACTCCCACAACTTCTGTAAACAGCCTTGTCCTTCCGGCGCACTCCCCGTACCTTCTATGACCAACCACAACACACTATCTCATGTGACTTCAACAACGAGATGATGGAAGATTTGACGCCACATTGCCTACCCCCTCCTCGTTTGTCCGTGCCAACCGAGTCCACAAAAACAAGAAAAAACAAAAACAACGTGGGAGGAAGGAGGGCGATAGAAACTTGGCTTAGGAGCATTTTTATTGCCGCTCCGACAGGTGCAAGCTCGGTTCAAGTTCCAAACGATTAGGGCGGCCACTGCTGGCTCGGGATGTGGGCACTACATAGTGAGAAAGTACTTTTAGGTGCAGCTCTGCTGGTCATTGCAAGGGGATGTAGGGAGCTTCATGAGTGATATCTCATGATTCACTCCATTGGGGTACCTATCCGGGTAAACGAAGTGAAAAAGTAGGATGAATAAAACAGGTTAGAGATCTTGCAGCTCAAATTCAATGCGGTATCCGCTTTGGAATGAAGTTTCTGGTTTTACCTACTCCCTCAGGCAGGGACAAATTTTTGCCGCATTCCAACACCCGGGGAAGGTTTACTCGGGCGTTTACCATATCCACGGCGCTGAAATGAAGGGCGGAAGAGTAATGCAACGGAAAAACAATCGGAGGGGAGATTTAGATTTTGGCGACGGAGTTCACCATATGCTCAATAGCATTAGGTATTGGAGAAACAAGTTCTGGCGTTACTGAGAGAACGCAGACCAACCTATGGCCCCAGATTTCCCAAAATCCATTTTCTCGATGCCTCAGGTCCACGATTGCCGAAAGGGCCTTCAAGCTATAAATCTGGGTATGAAAATATACATTTGAAAGGAACGGTGGTGTATATGGAAGTGAACGTTCCCGGGATAAGTATCTGGGCAATAGGTTCGGGGGTGTCGAGAAAAAATAGTCACCACACGAAGGGCGCTTTGCCCCTCTTGCACTAAGCTGGTGTATGCTGTGCCGGATATGTTATAATTCCGATTAGCAAATTTGGGGAGGACCGCCGCGATGGTGTCGGTGATTAGTTTAAACATCTAAAACCGGGGGACAAAATGATTCAATTGAGGCTAGTATTGTCTAAAGATCTACCAACGACGAATTATAACCGATATAGTGCACTAGAGTATGGTAGCAGTATCGCACGATGGTCTCCTCCGATATTCCCAAAGCCAAAGAAGCGGTAAGGTCTCGAATTCCAGAGCAGATAATAGCACCTTCAGATGTAATCCCCCCCACCCTAGGTATCTCTGCTGAGGACAAACCCTCCGACAATTCAATATGAGGGAATACAAAGCCCGAAGTGAACAGCAAACTCAATTCCCTGCAGGCCGGGAAACCTGATCAGTTAAAATATCTTGGGAGTGAACCACAGATCTCTAATGATCCGAAACCTATACTACTTATGCAATCATGAACGGTGGATGTAAAGTGAAGATGGGCCGGTGAGCGAGGTGTATAAACACCCTGTAGTAGGTGAACCTCGTGGTTATTATTCGAGAATTCAGTCATGTGGGAATTACCAATGGCGACCAAGCCCAGAACCGTTACTTTTGTAAGACAGCCGGATGGCGCAGACACCAGCCGACGCCTGGGCATCTGGGGGAACAGGGCCCTGCTATGGTACTTGTCCTCGGAGAAGCACAAGTACGATACAAACAGCTCTAAGCCTCGAGACTTTTTGATTGGATAGCGAGCCACTTGGTACTAGTATTAGTACTCCAAATTGCGTGCACTCGCCATTGGATAAGGGTCCTTTTGTAAAGGACATCCCTAGTATCTCAATCGGGGTTCTCAAAGTAAAAGCCACGGTTATCAATACAGAGGAGGAAGGTTTGGGGAGATTTTTCTATTTCCATTGCCTTTCCGGGAAAGCGGTCAGAATGTCCGGGAATCCCATAGCACCAGCACTCACAGGCCGCCGTGACACGATCCTCGTTGGTGAAACTTTACTGGATGTAGCTGGGGGGAAAACCCTATCGGATACCACGGAAGTAGAAGGGGGGGGGGCTGCCTTCACCCATAATGCCATGCTTGACACAATGGTGCCATCCGCAAGGTTTCAAGTCACAATCAACAACAAAAATATTGGCTCACCGTCGCCTGTCCCTTTATCCTGCAAGCGTAAAGAAACTGAAGGAAAGAAACTCTCAAAAAATTGAGTTATTTAGACCTTGTTAGAATTTTTCCAACCTCTCCCTACAGCTTCCTAAGATGGACTGAGGAGGGGGTTGAATTGTTTTTTCAACGGTTTCCCCGGGATTCCCGGAACACACAAGCCATCCAAAACAGGCCACCTTTAAGCAAGACCAGACCAATACGTTGAGAGGTTTTCGTGGTGTGAAAAATGCAGAATGTAGCTTAACAATCTACTGAATTCGTTTTTCCCTTTCCCCTTATATTTTTTGGTAACTTCTCCCTAGCCTTACGGTGGGCCGAAGGAAATATTTCACGTTTTCAATGGTGTATCCCGCCGGTACAATATATGAAAGTTTTTAGTTTTTTTTTGGCCGAGGGGTGGTACCTTGGGGGTTGCGCATTTAGTCACGCTCCATCAATTAGACTGAAGGGAATTGCACTGGAGGGTACTCGAGTACAGGTACAAGGTTTTTTGTATTTTGTTTCATAATATTATTCTTATGGACCCATAGACCCAGGGAAGCAATTTACTCGAGCTCTCAGGGTAGTATCGGGTAACACCAAGGATGGATGGAATTAAGGAACGACTAGTTCGCCCAGAGTTAGGTACTGGCACTGTACGCACTCCAAGCACGCCCTTTCCTCCCGCACTCGAGGCCAATTCTCCGCCGCGGGTACCTGCCAAGAACCCGGGGTAGGCCCCGACTACCGCCTAATCCGTCAGAAATGCGGGGATATCTCCAGACTCCCATCCCTGAATTGAACGACGGGACCTACTTGTACTCGTACTTGTATCATGCAAGGCGAGAGAGCAGGGTTCGCGTACACTAGCTGGAGTTGGGCTTCCTGTTACAGCAAGGGAGGACCGGGTAAGACCGGGGGTAGCTTAGGGCTGCATGAGTGATGTCTCATGATATCATACCAGATCCATGGTATTATATAATTCCTTAGCTATACCCCAAGGACCGGACAGACAGGTGGAATGAGTGAGCAGATGTGCAAACCCTCGGGATTCGAGTTCTGAAATGGGCCTGCTTAAGTGATATCATGGATTTCGGATTTCCATTGCCGCTTTACCCGGCCGCAAAATTCCGCACGCATATAGCAACCCAAGGCTGTGGTGCTTCGCAGAACGCGACGCCCGACACAATGGTCTGCCATAATGCTTTCAGTATCGCGACCGGTTTGATAGTTGTGGGTTGTAACCAAAAACAGGAGGAAGAGGGAAGGAAAAAACAGCTTCGTTCAAAAATACATGTTAGGCTGGGAAGTCGGTTAGACTACTCGTACAAGTACGAGTAGACGGAGGAGGGGATCAGCAAGATACCCACCAGAGATTTCGGGACTGGGAATCTCAAGCGATTCCAACAATAGGAGACGAAATTCAGAAGTGTAGGATATATTCTTGATAGTACGGTATCTTGGATATCCCCATTTTTGTTCTGAATTCGGAGCTTTGATTTCGGCGAGATTTCTAGGGTGGGGTCTAGCGAAATTCATATGTGATATGAAATGATCCACTTCTGTGTCTGACTCCCTCCGACCCGATACGCTAGAATAACACGCTGTGGGGTACATTTTTCCGCCCGTAGTTGGTGCACAATACTCCCATATAAGAAGGAAACGGGGGCATACGTGGGTGGAGTAGGGTGGGGAATTGTGGGCCCCGTAATTGGCTGATAGACCGACTCGAGTAATTATGCAAAGAGAGAGCCGAGGGTAATACCAACGGAGGAGATGGAAAGTGCAAAATAACCATCAGCCGAGCCAAGACGAGAGTCTGGGGAGGGAGAACACGCGAAGGGGCAGACTGTGCTGTAGGTTTTGGTCAAAATGGTCAAAATCCTTTCCCGTGAAAAGATTTTAAGCCCAATAAGCGATATCCAGGTACCAGTGGATTGGAGGAAATGGAGAAACTTCCAGGGCATCCGCAAATGGTTACACAGGAAAAATACAAAGGGTGTACGCTGTATGGCTGCGATAGGCTTTGGGCGGGAAGGCCCCGAATGAATTACCTCACCCGGGCAACCTCCCCCTTCGGCATTCTTTACAATATCATAATATTACGAGGTCTTGTTTATCCAAAAAATAATATTAGCCCTTTCCCCGGGGGGAACGAAGGGTTATCCCTTCTCTTCATTCCGGCATCCGCTTCCTCTGGCGCTGGAGGAATAGCCGCGGCCCCGAACTCGCTATCATAAGATGGTGGAGTGTTTTTCTGAGAGGAGAAATTCGTATGGTGCAGCCCAAGTTAAGTGAAGCTACAAAACTGTATATGCACCCCGAGCGGCATTTGCGAAATGTAAGAAAATGGCCGAGCGGGGCAGCTTGCCGCGTCGTGCGAGACTCCCGGGATTGCGGCCCGTCAAGCGCTCCCAGGATAGCGGGCTGTTGCACCCAGTAGGCCCCGCGCTATTTCCAAGCCCAACCGACCAACTTCACTGCTAGGAATGTTAGTCGAGTCCCAAGGGGCGATATCAAAATTTGCGATGCCATTCCTCAACTTCTCCCGATGAGAGTTAACCATTGGCCTTTGCGGATTGAATCTGCGTGGGGTTTGTGGGGAGGGCGCATGAATTATTAATTTGAATTATCCGATTGGCAGGCTTCGTTAGGGCGGGGGAATTTGTGCGACGAAATCGAGCATGAGCATATTCGTTCGCAACTGGAGTTTCCATCGCAGGGCTCCATCGTAGTGGGGTACCACCTGGGGCACAAGAGCTATTGGTAGCAAACTTGTGAACTGTGTCCTGTTTGTCCTCCGTATCGCATTCTGTGGTTGGGCGGATCAATAGCAGACCGTTGAAGGTTCTATTAGTGCCAGCCCCAGCCGATTGTGGAATCCACCCGCTTGCGCCGGCGGCTTCCATCCGGAATTCAGCAGCGAATCTGAGGTCGGTTCCGCAGCTCTATCACGAAGAAAGTGTTCGACTTCTTACTGGGACGAATTGGCGCTAGGCGCGCGAATCAATTCATCTTGCTAATGGACTCGCCATGTTAAAAGAGCGCAGTGTAACTGCACTGGAGTTTCCGTTTCGATCTTCCGCTAAGCAACTAAAACCAAGTGATATCTCCTCGCGTATGTACCGTATGGGAGTATATCCTGATCTCCCCTGAAATAGCTTGTATACCATTTCATCCAAGGGAGTATAAGGCTTGATCAGAAGAGATTATCGGGGTCGGATTGTATTTCAACAAAACATAGTATACTGGTACCAGTAGTCCTAGAAGCGCAGCTTGCACCGTAAATGCCCTCCGCCTACAGATGGCCCGGGTTCTAACGGCGAGGTATCATGGTTCCCTTTTTACACTCCTCCAGTTCACCCCCTGTCTTAACGCCAGTCCGGGGCCGACGAGCTCGAACATCTGGGGCATTTTTTAATATTTCTGGTACCGGTATGATATTTTATCAGTGTTTGCTATCTGGAGCGAACATGCCCTGGCAGAAATCGTTTTCTCCCTGAATATCACACGGGCGGGTGGGAAGAAAACCTCTCCAAGTTTCCCTGTAAAAGATTGATCATCGATCCGGCCAAGGATACCGGTAGGCGAAGCATGCTGGGGCTTAGAAGGGCGATCCCAATTTCCCCTTTCCGGCGCGAAATGCCTGGTGCCTGGTGTCACCGAATGGTAGTCCCCGTGTGAAGATAAAGGTTTTCGCCCTGAAGTATCCGCAACCGACTTTCGAGAGGCCAACGAGAGCCCCACCACCCAGCCCACCCCCCGCGGGGTCCATTTTCGTTCGTTCGCCGCAATGCGACCGGGCGCCGTCGTCTTGGGTGGAATTCTCCGCGAGGCTCAATTGTTTGTGGCGCAGCGCCACAAACTGAGCGCTGGCGCTCAATCGTCAATCATTTTTGTCCACACCGCCACCAATGCCCACCACCACAGCTTAGCGCCAGCTGCACACACTCTTCGGCATGGCATCCATCGCTGACAGGACGTTGCAGCCGTTTTGAAATGACTTTTCCACAGGCACTCCCGTTTAACGCCCGCCCCGGAACACGGTAGTCTCAGGAGTTACTTGTACGAGTACTTGTACCGCTCCCCTGCATAGCACCTGAACACCAGCACGGCGCAGACCTAACACGGCTGAAATCGACTTTCCTGCGACGTTCCCCGTCGCACCCATTCCACAGGGGTGACCCAATAATCTGCACGCCCTACCCTCCCTCCACTCAATCCCGGGTGTGCCAAACTATCGACCATACCCGTATCGTACTCACTTCCCCGCCCCCATCCACTTATCGCGCAACCACTCAACTGGCTGCCCGTGGCTAGATTAATCTCCGCCGGGTAGCTTGATTCTCGAGCACCCTTTACCCATATGCGCTGATGAATGGTATCCCGGGACACCTGCTGGGGTCCTGGGATGTTCGATGAACAGCGTATTTCCCACTACTGCGCTCATTTCTATGGCTGGAAATTGTCGAATGCGGCGTGGATTAATTGCAATAGAGTGTGTATTTTAATGTCAATTTTTTTCCTCCTCTATCCCGGCCCCTCGCGCCATTCTTCTTGGGGTTCGTTTTGCCCTGTTTTGATCCCTTTCCCTCCCTCGTCTTTCTCGCGGGCGGTTGAAACAGCATCTCACCACACGAGCACTCCCTCGTGCGACAGGATTGACAGGTGCGCACGTACGAGTACTGCTTTGTAGCCTTGAGGGTGTACCGGTACCGTACCGTACTCGTACAGTACAGCACAGTGCACTAGCAGTGGGAACGTGTTCTCCTAATTCCTTCTTGACCCTTATTTTTTCTTTTTTTCTTTTTCCATTCTCCTTCTACCCTATTTCTATTTCTAATTGCCCCCCCCCCCTCTTCTCTTCACCCTCCTGCTAGCGGGCTGCGGGCCTTTCTCGTTCACTGTACGATAATACGTTAATCCTCTACCGGCTGGACTGGTGCTGGCCTTCCAGTAGGCCTCAATGGGATGTTTTGGTTCCTTCCGGGGGCAGAAGGAAGTCTCTGCCAAGCACAAATTCGAGTACATCGTGAGCAGGCCACACTCTACCCCCCTCAATGTTTTTATCTGTCGCTAATGCGCTATCCCTCTGCGATAGAACCTCAAAGACTTCAAGGCAAACTCTTTCTTTACCTGCACAGCCTACGTGTGGGTCTACCTTAGCGTACTGATAGCATTTCTCTGCGTTGCGGCGGATACATACACTGCCATAACCCTACTTGCATTCAATCGTTGGTCCAGCCAGATCAGACCCATTATCCCGTTCGACGTCGCGAAGATCATATTCGCTCTGTGTATCGGGTTGAGTTACGTTCTCTACATTATCGACTGGTGGCATGCGGTGGGAGTGATCAATAGGGGTGGCGTTGCGGATGCGTACATGGACTCCATTGCCCTTAGGTGGCATTCTATCCGTGGGGGCGAGGGCAGGGAGGACACGGGATGGAAGCGCTTTCTGGTTTTCGCGAGGTTGACTGAGAAGCGAGGCAGGAGGGATTATGTGGCCTTGTTCACATACTTTTCTTTCAAGGGTATATGATATAAACCTCTGGTGCGTATTTTGCACCGAAAGGATCGCTAATACGGGGCCATCTAGGATGGTTAAGAGTTCTCTTCGCTGAGGGGCCTAGAGTGGTGATCAATACCGCGACTCTGGTATCTGTCATCCGTGCGGATCTGATCCCGGAGGATGCAACAGAAGCACTTGGCGCAATAGGCCGGTTCTTCGAGAACGTCGGACATCTCTACAGCGAGAATAAGATCCAAGCATTGATCCTAGGAGCAATGACCTTCACTACAATTTTCTGGTTTTTCACCATCATACGGCTCACCATAGCGTGCAACATGTACCTCTGCTACCTGCTGCGTGCCATCGACGAAACTTCGCTGGAAGACTACTGCCGAAAAAGGGTTGATAAGAGAATGACCAAGATAGTGGAGGAAAACCACAAACAGGGGTTGGGAAAGAACGTCTTCCGGCAGCCGACAATCCCGGTTATCTCCATACCAGAAGATACAAGTACCCCCAACATCCGGAATTCGCTCACCGAGAGCCCGGTCTCTTACCTTGGCCGCCAGCGGACAATTCCGGATCTGGGGCCCCGGGAGTTTCCCCCTCGGTTGAAACGCGCCGATACAACAACTACCATATCGGGTTCAACATACTCCCAATCATCTACTCCACCTCCACCCCATGTTAACCATTACTCAATCTACTCTCCTCTTCACCCTCAACACTCGATACATAACTCTTACGATAGCAACGCGCCGCTGATTTCCGCGCCTGCTGAAAACCCATACTCAGACCCTACATTCCCCACGTACCCCTCCCCAACTCACCCCCCCCTCGGCGGCGGATTCCCTGTCTCTCCCCAAGGTCAGCAACAACCGGTACCTGCATACCAACGACCAGTGTATCGCCCGGCAGCAGAGGCAGAGGTGCACCAATGGCCCACGACAGGTCCGGCCATTAGTCGTAGCACAACGGTGCCTCATCGGGCGAGACAATTGCAGGAGGTGGTTGCCAGAAGCGGGACTGCACCGCCGGGGCCTTGGAATGAGGGATGGGATGGGCAGGGGCAGAGGGGCTATTGGCCCCAATAGTAGCAGCACTATCAGGGATAATTTCACGGGCCGAAGTGCAGATGCAACACCACGAGATGATGGGCGAATGATGGGGTCGTCTAACGGGGGTTGGCATGCTGGCCCAGGGGGTCTGTAGCGTATAGTATAGGAAGGTCGTAAATATCCGCTTAGGGTTGGGTAGCCAGATTTACGGCATGGCTAGATGCAATTAGTTCTGTTGGATAGGCTTCCTTTCGTTTTCTTTCCGATGTGGGTGGTGGTAGGTGGTTGAATTGAGTACGGCCCCTGCTCGTGAATGTAAAGGGCATTCAGCGATGTCGAGAAGGGGCTCATGTGTAACGCGGGGTAGTCACGAAGAGATTTGACGCGGGTAGGATGTTAGCTGGGCCTATGTCTATAATACGCCGCGGAATAACCCTCGGTTTTCTTCCCTTCTGCTGGCCCCGTATATCCAATAATGTTTCCATGATTCCTAGTGCACACTCGCGACCCTAGACACGTGACACCACCTTAAGTTGCCCCTGCGACCAAACACCAAGTATCACTTCCCTCATCCGCACCGTCTTCCGGAGGAGCTATAGTATGGTATAACAAATTATTCCTCATCGCCATAATCACCTATGATTCTCGATATATTCGCCAGACCAGGCACACGCTCCTCAAAAGTTGCAACTACTCTTGGATGGGCTAGTTCGAGAACGACATTCTGGCGCATTCCAAGGGGGAGGACGCTGTCTGTTTTCAATTGCACTCCTACAGAATTTCTTGAGACTCCAGAGGGGAAATTCCCAGGTATCCCCAATGACATCCTACTTGAGTGTAGAAACCCCCGCGGCATCATCTGTTCTCATTCTAATTTTCTGGTGTTCGGACTCGAGGTTGGTACTTGTATGGCATACGATGCGATACGACATAGTACTTGAGTCCGGCAGCTTGCCATAACATACCGGGTGTCGTTGGCCGGGATAGTATTAAAAAGGGCCCCACATCCCAATGGAGACGCGAGGGCGGAGGAGGATTTACAAATAGCCCATAATACTGCGGAGGAACGGAAACCCTGATTTGGGATTTTAATCACGCAGCTAACCTCCGGCATGGAGTTGTGAGGATCGTGGGGTCGGTTTGAACCCCCCTTTGTAACGCCCACCTGCCCACGATCTTCTCCATTTGCTGCGAGCAAAGGAGTCTCATTATAAAGCCTTTTGTCAGAACCAACCGCGAATATCTACCGGGTGGATATCCATGATCTGCGTGTTAGATGATGGTTTTTTTTTTTTTTAGGGATATCGTTGTTCTCGAACGTTGGGGGGGGGCGCGCAGGGAGGATCCTCTAGAACTAGGAGATTTTGGTATTGCCGGCGTTCAGTGTAGAGTGTAGGTATCCAGCGTGGGACCGCCCCAGACCTACACTTCCTAGACATAGAACGGAAGAACCGTGAGGCGAAGGAGTTCTCGAGAGGGATGTGCGGAAAGTCCATTATTCGTCCTGGTCTATGAGACGGCTTTTGTCCTTCTCGCGCTCGTCTCTTACACTTCCTCTGCTTTCTACTGTTGTTCCGCGTCTGGTGGAGGGGGTAATGCCAGCCATTTGGATGACTGAGTCTCACAGGAAACCCCCCCCTTTTGGTCCCACTCATTATTTGAGTCGTAATCCCGAATGCTATCTGTCACGTCAATCATGAGTGCCCAACAGGGCTTCCCCCCCGTGGGATCTTCGGCAGAATGAAGTTGTATCAGTAAACGGCACAACTTTGCCGGGACATATCCTCATTCCACAGTGGTACAGCTATTGCCAGATGCCCAATCTTGGAAAATTGGAAATTAGTGATAGCTTGTGACGACCAGAGTTTTGGAAGGCGAGTATCTCACACCCAATCTCTTTATGCGGACGATTTTCGGCCACCTTTCTGTTGAGACAAAGTGGATCACTCCCGTAGCAACAGCAGATGGGTACTGTGGCCATTTTCCTGTATATGAGGGGAATTGCCGGGAGCGTAGGGATGGATGTCACCCTGCTGCTGTCGCATGAGCATACCGGACTTGGCATCACATTAAGTTTAGAGTGCCAAACCGCCCAGTCCTTCAGTATTTAGGGTGTTATTACTATGTCATGATATGATATGATGATTCTATTTTAGTACCAACTGTACTAGCTTCGAAAGACCCTCCATGGTTACCGGATTCTAGATACACGGTGGGAATAAGTACATCTAGTCTTGACTGTCTAGCCCCCTGGATTTTGGATGGCTAAAAAATTGGGTAAACACAGTTGGCACCGTCTATTGCATCACAACTCTTGGCTGACGGTGCCGTCAAACCCCACAATACAACTTTCAGAAATCGGCGGTTAGGTAAACGGGTCCTAAAACGTTGTTGGGAAGCACGAGTAGATGCGGTGGCCGTCCTAGATGATGTTGCACCAAAGGTAATACGGGTCGAGGAGAAAGTGAGGGGGCACATACCATCTTACCACAAAAATCGCAGATTTAGCACTAATATACTAAGAGTGTTCATAGAACTGTCGAACATAGTAACGACATAATTTTGCTAAACAAATTTCAATATGGCTGCTAGAAATACCGGAGTGGTATCTAGTTTAATGATCTAGTGGCCTCAAGGAACTGAATTTGAGCCAAGGCAGCAGTTTTAGCGCGGGTTTTGAGGAAAGATTCTTCAATCCATGGCTACTATGCTGCGGACAATTTAAACTCATTTAAGGTTGTTACTGAAGGTAGTAATATACATCTTTTCTGAACATGCTATGCAGTTGTCCTATTCGTGATACAAGAATCGCTGCCTGGATAAGCATGTGGAGTGGGTTGGTTTGGTGTAAACTACTCGAGTACGAGTGCTGCCGATAAATATATTCGTCACGTGCCTTATCTAAGGACACATCGCAGCCAAAAGCTGCACCGAAATTTTCTTATCAGACTCACGTGACGAATATATCTACCGGCCGCACTCATAAGTTGAACTTAGTGATTTTTTTTTTTTAAAAAAAACCCCCTTCCATAGAATGATTTCATCGGCCTCGCTTGCGTTGCCCTAAACCGACAAGCCAACTAGCAACGCTTTAAATTCAGTTTTTCCTCCACCACTCCTGCTTCCCACAATCCTCCAAGACCCCCACAATCCTCCAAACCCCCCGCAATCCTCCAAAGCCCCCGCAATCTTCCAAGACCTCTACACACTGCCTTTGATTGCATCACGACCCAAGTACTAGCACTTTCTTCTGTATAAACTAGAGGCTATAGGAAACAATGGCTGACAATCACGCTCACTTAGTGGAATCCTCCCCAACCGCTTCCGCCTCCCAAACATCAGGGTCCCATCCATCAATCGATGTTGATTATTATCTCAATGAAGGACTAGAAGGAGTCCACGGGCGGGAATTTCGTGACCGCCGGTCTTTCACTCGGCCTATCCAGTCGCAGGCAAACAAATTAAGTGCGGGTAACCTGGGTATTGGACAGTATGCGGTGTTTTCCTCCGTGACGCCGGACCAGCTTGCGGATCTCGAGGACATCCGTGACGCAAACTACAAATTCCTCCGCTTCCTATACCTGAATGAGGTAGATACCCTGATTGTCAAAATCACCCCGGGTGCAGCTCACCAGATATCGACCACCGCTCTTGTCAAACTAGTGCTCCAGAAGCTTGAACCAATGGGTCTGGCCTGGGAGGTTATGGATATGCGTGGTGCAGCCTATCAAGGTGTCCTATCAAAAAAGGAGGCCGATTCGGCACTCAAACCGATCGCTCGTTCTCGCATAACCGACTTTCCCACTGTGGTCTTTGAATGCGGGCTTCTTGAATCCTTGACACGCTTGAGGGTTGATGCAAACTGGTGGCTGGAAAGCACAGGGGGGGCGGTGAAGATCGTACTTCTAATTTGTGTCTCTCCACAACAGCGGAAGATACATCTGGAGCAGTGGGAAGCTCGCGCTGGGTCAAATCCCCGTGTTACGCGTGCCAATAATACTCCTCAGCTAGCCAGACCAACAATGATTCACGAAATTGACATCACCACGCCTCTTGGTGGACCGGTTATTCCCCTACCGCTTGTTGATGGGGCCCCGTTGACGCTTGATTTTGCAAAAATCACGCTTCGCCAGCCGGGCCCTGGTGAAGGAAACGTAATCTGCACGGCACAGGATCTTGCACGTTTTGCCACTAGTGTCTGGCAATTTACCCAATAAAGCATGCTTCTGATTCGAACAGAGTAAGTTTTCCTCCTATAACCATATGTGGAAATTGGATTTGGGACTTATTGTGAAAGCTAGTTCTAGGGTGGGGGACGGCTGGATAACACTCGCGGATGGGTAATATTCTGGATGAAGAGATGGGGCATGGCTATTTCGCTTTTACAGGCGGTCTGGGTGGAAAAAGGAGAGTTCGAGAATACTAGTGTCCTGTTTCTTGTTTTTTTTCTGTATACTCTCATGAGAGCAGTTTTAGAAGGCTTTCATGGAGGGATAAAATATTCGAGAAAGCTGATGTTTGCTTTTTCTTTTTCTTTTTCTGGATCCCATCCCTACAATTGTATTTAATGCCTCCTGTTAGCTAAGTCTTTTTTCTTATGGTAACCTGGAAAGGCTCGTACATCTGTGATACGGTGGAAAGTGCCTAAAGGTGGGTCCTCCGGTGAAACAGCAATTCCGTGGCAACCGATCGGAATTGAGCCAAGAATTGCCAAGACTTGATGAGTAAGAGGAAATGATACACTTCTAGGAAATAAGTAAAATAGTGAATGGGCAGAATTAAATAGAATCATGTACTTAATATAATATGATAGGATATTTAAAAGAAAATCTAACAAGGAGTTTGAGCTAGAGATACACGACGGTGACTTTTATAAACTACATTTGTAAATTGTTCTGTCCCATACTGTAACCCAGCATAGTAAGCATCAAGGATACGTGTGCTTTTCCACCAGTACTTTAGAAGTAAAAGTGAGGGTATTTCCTGCAAGGCTTTTGGAACTGTCTTAATGAGTGAAGGCCAATTATATTGACAAT